TCAGTGTTTCTAATGCACACTGATTTTGTGTTGTAAATGCCTTTTCCTCCTGGTAATTCATTTGAAGAACCAATTCTGAGTAGGGAAGTAAATAGTAAATATTATTGATTGGCTTTTAGCTAGCTAGCATTTTCTACTCTTTTATGCATTGCCAGTAAACGAATGCTAAGCAACCGAAAATATCGTTTCTCTCACTCTCCAGAAGGGTAGAACAAATGGGTGGTCTTACATTCTCTGTAAGTTTGTAGCGTAGTTCTCATTTCCTTTGGTTAGTTAAGACCCTTGTTTCTTTCAGGTATGTTGTATCAACCTAGTAGCATTCCAGTTTTACCTCCATTCTTAATTCCTTGATTTAATCTTTCACATTGATAAATAACCCCAGCCATCTCTTCTAACCCGTTCAGTTTGCTTATGGAGCTCTAGTGGTGGAGTGGTTAAGTGTTGGGCTGTGATCCTGTTAGTCCTTGTCTAATCCTTTAGGGGGGGCTACATCTCTTGATAATTTGAAAGTGACGGCCACTTAGCTCAGAAATACGTGCATAAGCAGATATTTACATTTCATGGTTTGTTTTTTAATCACCTTGAAGTTCATTCATAAATTTAGAACTCTTGAGGCTGTCAAACCATCTTGGTTCTTTTGCTTCTGCTGTCTTATAATGCTCATCTTTCTTCCCCAATCTTGTATCATTTAAGGCCTTGCCTAACTATCCTTTCTTCAGAAAGCAACCCCCACCATCCCCCCCAAACCAAGCTCACTTCCACTGAGTCGATTCCAATTATGGCTACCTTATAGGACAGGGTACAAACAGAAAAAGAGGCTTGCGTAACGTATTTTTTCTGTTCTAAGAAAAACATTTTGTATATTGTTCAGTACCTTAAGGCGTCTCCCCACTAACCATAACTTTTTAGGAACTGCTGGTATACTCCTCAGTATAGTCCATGATTAAAATTAGTAAATTAATGAATGAAAGGTTAGGGTTTTTCAAGATTTTATGAGGTTTTCCACTATAGAGAGATAACTTTTTTTCTCGCCATATATAGAGAAGGTGAAAGTAAGATTAAGTTATGAAAATTTTAACTAAATGGGGCACTTTTCTCTAGATTCTAAGGTCTAAGTTCTAATTGGACTTGATTCTGAGGTTTCTACATGTCTAGTATTACAATTTTCCGTATGAGCTTTTTTCATAGTCCAAAAACTTAAAGATTTTTAAAATATTTCATAGTATCTCCAATGTGAGGAATATCCCCCCCCCGATCCCCCCTCAATGTTCGAAGCCCATTTTTAAGGTTCCTTATCTAGGCCTTTTAGACTAATACTTGGCTCAAGTTCTATCTTCCTATTTGGGAAAGAGGGTAGAAAACATTTTCCTACATTTGAAAAGAGCAGTTGTAGAAATAGTTAGTTGTTTTCATTAGGAATACTTAATGTTATAATTAAGCTTAGAATTTCAGGAGGAACCCAAAGACAGACTCCTTGGTTCTTAGGGATCAACTTTTAAGATTTTGTCTTTTGCAAAAATATTTGGTGTTGTCCAAGAAACAATAGTGACTCTTAATGCTATGTGCTTCATTAGCTCTGTTTTACACAGACCCTCAGATATCCTGTCATTGGAGAGTATCCACACTCATGGGTTTATGAAGGGTTCCATCAGTGCTTAAATGTTTGGTTATATCAGTTTTTTGTTATAGTTTCTTATTTTGAAATACTGGTCCATTATCCTTGTGAAGCATTTAAAGTATCCCAGGATTATCCTGGTTTTTCAATTGATTTCTCCTAGCTGGAATCCATGCAAAAGTTCTTAGATGTATATGTGACTTGATGCTGGTTTCAGAGAATTTAGGTTATTGTGACATGAAGTAAGAACTAAAACTAGTATTTTTATAATTTAGGCTATACTTAGGATTGGGGTTAAGGTAGAGTTTTGTGATTTTTGTAGGAATCTCGCCATCATTTAGAATGGTGGTTCTCAACCTTCCAAACTACGACCCTTTAATACAGTTCCTCCTGTTGTGGGTGACCCCAACCATAAAATTATTTTCGTTGCTACTGTAATTTTGTGAAAGGGCCGTTCATCCCTAAAGGGGTCACGACCCACAGGTTGAGAACCGCTGATTTAGAGTATTGTTTCTATGAGAACAAGAATTTTGTTGCAATTCCAACAACTTGTCTTTCCTCTCACTTTTTTCCTAATTTCCTTTTACTCTTCTCTCCAAATGGATTGGTTTTCCCAGCATGTTTACAGCCTAGCTCACTCGTATCTTCCAGTGTTTCTCTAATGCTTATATCATCATAGATCCGTGTGTGTTTCACTATTTTATAGATACAATTTGTATTTTAAGTTGGTGCTTTATGCAAAAGAATGAATTTTTAAAAATAAAGCCAGCACTTTTCATATTTTCTGCTATAAATGCTGGAGCAATTTTTCTTTTTGGGTGGGGTGTAGATAGCTTTAGTCATTTAGAGAAGTTATTAAACAGTTTGCTAGGCACTATTCAATCTTTTGGGGAGCTTACCCACCTAGTCACTTTCTGACGAAAGCCCTAATGTTCTTACAGACTAACTTTGCCCTCCACGTGGTTTCTGAGATTGTCTTTACCAAGAGTAGATGATTCTCCTGTGGAGTGGATGTTGGATTTGAAATGCCCTTGTTGGTTGATAGCAGCCCTATGCTTAACCCATTGTGCCACCAGAGCACCTGTAAGCGTGGGATACGACTTTGATTTAAGAAAAAGGTTCACATTTGGTTACTTGTCCAAGAACATAGAGGGAATAACTGCAGCAGACAGCATTTTGAAAAGTAAACCCACAATCCTTTATCCTCGCTAGTCTACACACAACCTAAAATTACCTGAACTTCAGTGATGCTGGGTACAGTTAATGCTACTATGGGACTGAGAGAAGATTTTAAAATATTAAGACTTTTTAGTTCCCTGTAAACAACCTCCAAACCTGGAACTGAACACACCACCATGGCTCAGCTTTCAGCCAAACAATAGGACAGGGGCCTGTAAGGTAAAACAGTAACACCTGGAAGGCATGTACTCAGGGATATGAGACCAAAAGGGTATGTATGTAGCATTTGCCCAAGGATACAGCTCCGAAGGCAGGAAGAGAGGCTAGACTGGGAGAGAAGGACCCTTGGAAATGGCAGGGAGAAAGTGGGATGAATGCTGCTGTTCAGCTGTGGGAATTACAAGCAATGTTGTGAATCAAGATGTGTATGAATTGTTGGGTGGGAAATTAGTTTGCTCAGTAAAGCTTCACCGGGATCATAGAAAGTTTGAAAAGAATTTTGAGTTTGGGAATTATTTTGAGTAAATAGTACTAATGACACTAAAGAGATAAAGCCATTTTGAAAATTGATAGAGTTTTTGTTGATAGTTTTAAGGGCTAGATTTAAATTCTTAAACACCCTATTATCTCCTCTACCATCTAGTCCATATGAAGATAGAAGGTTATTTTATAGTGCCTTTGATTTAGTTCATTAATGTAGTTATCTTTCTATGACGATGTCAGTCATTTTAAAAACTAGCCAAATAGTATGGAATTCTGTGAGATTGAAACTCTTGGGTTGAACTTTTCCTAACTTCTTGCTAACCATATTATAGGAAATCCTGATCATATTAACAAGATTATTGACTTAGATCCCTGTGGTTATTCCTAGAATTGAAACATTTTCCCAGTAGGGTTTCAGCTTCCTTTATCTTTAGTTAGATTTAATTAACTCCTTTGACGTAAACCATTTAAATGTTTAGCTGTACATACAATTTACCTTTTAAATATGAGGAGAGTTCAAAAAGCTCATAGAAAATTCTATTATCTTGCAATTCTGTTTTTCATGAACCCTTTGAAACTTTCTTGTAGTGACCAACATATTGCAACTTGAGAGTAAGTTCAGTCAGAAAGGAGACGGAACATAAAGCCTTTTCATATAAAAGAATAAATGACACTAATTTGAGTCTTACAGATAAATGTTTTGAAGAAAATAATTATCTTAATTTTAAATAATTCTTAATACAATTCCTTAAATTAACAGGGTGATCATTAAACAACTTATTGCTGATCTTCAGACTTAGAATTTTCCCTCCCATAATAGCAATAGGTTGTACCATACCAAGGTGTTCATTCCAATCCTCTCAATATTTGTGGTGATAAACACTAATCTCAAAATACCTAATGATCACTAGCAAATTAATAAGGGAGCTCAGTTGCATTGGCAATGCAACCACTGGACTACTCATTGAAAGGCAGTTTAAACCCGCCAGTCATTCTTCTGTGAAAAGCTATGTATGCTTCTAAAACTGCTCTTTCTTTCTTTCTTTTCTTTTTTTTAAATCATTTTATCAGGGGCTCATACAACTCTTATCACAATCCATACACACATCAATTGTGTAAAGCGCATTTGTACATTCATTGCCCTCATCCTTCTCAAAACACTTAAGCCCTCTTCACTTAAGCCCCTGGCATTAGGTCCTCATTTTTCCCCTCCCTCCCCGCTCCCCCCTCCCTCATGAGCCCTTGATAGTTTATCAATTGTTATTTTGTCATGTCTTGCCCTGTCCGACGTCTCCCTTCACCCACTTTTCTGTTGTCTTTCCCCCAGGGAGGAGGTCACATATAGTTCCTTGTAATCGGTTCCCTCTTTCCTACCCATTCTCCCTCTACCCTCCCTGTTTCACCACTCACACCACTGGTCCTGTAGGGCTCATCCACCCTGGATTTCCCTGTATTTTCAGTGAAACTGCTCTTCTATAGAGATTACAGCCTTGGAAACCATAGAGCCAGTTCTCTGTCCTGTATGATCAAAATGAGAATTAAGTGGATGGTAATGGGTTTGAAACAAATAAATCTGATTAGTGCTTTTAAAGGAATGAGAATGCTGAGGATAATATAATGCTTTTCCGGGTGTAGGGGACTTTAAAATGTAAATAAAATTTATTTTTTATTTTTATTTTTCTGTAAATAAAATGTAATGTTAATATTTTCCATCCAATTACAGGAGTCGGAAATACCATCAGAGGAGGGGGTCTGTGACTTTAATAGTAAGCCAAATGAGAATTCTTATTGCTACCAACTACTTCAACAACTAAATGAACAGAGAAAGAAGGGTATTCTTTGTGATGTCAGCATTGTGGTGAGTGGGAAAATCTTTAAAGCTCATAAGAACATCCTGGTTGCAGGCAGCCGTTTCTTTAAGACTTTATATTGCTTTTCAAACAAAGAAAGCCCTAACCAAAACAATACTACCCATTTAGATATTGCTGCAGTTCAAGGTTTTTCAGCCATCTTGGACTTCTTGTATTCTGGTAACCTGGTGCTCTCAAGCCAAACTGCCATTGAAGTGATGACAGTGGCCAGCTATCTTCAAATGAGTGAAGTGGTTCAGACTTGCCGAAATTTCATTAAAGATGCCTTAAATATAAGCATGAAGTCGAAAGCTCCAGAGTCTGTTGTTGTGGACTATAATAATAGAAAACCAATTAATAGAGATGGTCTGCCTTCATCACGGGATCAAAAAATTGCCAGTTTTTGGGCAACACGGAACCTTACCAACTTGGCAAGTAACATAAAAATTGAAAATGATGGTTGTAATGTCAACGAAGGCCAAATAGATAACTACCAAATGAGCGACAGTAGTTGGGTCCAGGATGGCTCTCCTGAACTGGCTGAAAGTGAATCTCAAAGTCAAACAAAAGTATTTATTTGGAATGATATGGGCTCCCAGGGAATTCAAGAGACTGGCAAAACGAGGAGGAAAACCCAGACTGCAAAGCGATTTATTTATAATGTACCACCTAATAATGAGACAAATTTAGATGATTACTCAGTGATGCAGCCACCTGTTGCCTATACAGAAGAAGATTTGTCGTTCATCAAAGAAGAACCAGGTAAATATTGTATACAAAGGTACCTTGATTTTTGAAGTTACTTTTAATTCTAGCTGGGATATAATCTTGAAGTATAGTTTTATATGGAAGGGTTTTCTTTCATAATAAAGCACAATTATAAATGTCATACAATATAAAAAGTAGTATTTACAATAGAAGAGGGTGAATCACTCAAACGAGAATGTGGTTTTTTTTTGACATGTCCTTGTTTTCTCTATAGGCACATACAACTTAGTTTCTCCAAAGATACAGTAATGTAATATCCAGACCTTACATACATTTCTTTAAGGAGCTGACTCTACTGCCCATAAAATTCTTTAACCAATGCTATCCTTTTAGCTGCTAATTTTTAGACCAAATATAGAGAAAGATAAAAACTTTAGTTTGTAATAGGTTACACATTCAGTTGGATGTCATCAATTAGAAATTGACACATAGTTAATATTCTCAATTTTCCCTACTTGACCATTTTCTAGCCTTTCATAGGATTATAATGGGATTATTCTAATGTGTTTAAAGCTACTATCTATTCTCACTACAAATGTTACAGAAGTTGGGTTATTTTAAGTTTGCCCCACTATCACTCTCTTATTTTCATGCTCTTTTGTGTTATTTGAAAAAAAGGCTTCTGAGACTCTTCAGTATATATCCTAAGGAATATCTATACAAACCTTAGTGTATATCACATTTACTGTGGAATTTTTGAAAAATGAGTTTGTGGACCATTGCCGGAGTACCAACAGAAAGATATGATGTTTGAACTTCCTTTACCTTTGTTTCATCTGCCTGTGTCTGGTTTCTATTTGAAGAAGCAGCTTAGTGGGCTTGAGGTTTTCTGTGTATATGCCCCAGACTTGTCCTGCACCAGTGTCATCTGTGATTTAACACTTGTTTTGCCTCAAAGGACTGTAAATATTTAGGGTGTGATTTTAGTGGCGTGTTGGAGTACTTTCTTCCCCAGAGGAAATGTGATGGTTTAATCCTTGAGGGTAGTTGCTGTAAATAAACTATGAAGAGTAGATAACACTACCGTCCTATGACCCTGCTTAATTACCAATATAGAAAATCTTGAAGGAGTTGTTAATCGGGGCTATTTTGACTTTCTGTTGTATGGATTAATACTACAGATCTCTGTAGGGGTTTTATGTTCTGTTTTAAGTTCATGTACAATATAGAATCATTCCTTTCCTTTAAATAATAAGTTAATCTTTTGGTTAGTATTTGATGGCAGAATTAATCAGGGATGACACCATTCTTAAAATAGTGCTGCATATAATTAGAATGATTCAAAGGAAGAAAAACACTAACATTTGAATTTCAATTCATTCTTACAGAAATAGTATTGCTTGTGATCATCTTAGTAAACACCCCTACCTAATGACTGTGTTGATAGACTTAGGCCCATCTTAGTGATTTTTTGATGGTCCCATATGCTTTCAGTGTTTTCCATTTTTCTGCTTGTCTTAGAAATGTATTCCTATGTCATTGCTATTACATTTTTCTATCTGATGAAATATACTAAGATGATAAATATTGTTCTATCTGTGTTCGAACTTAAAAGAAACTTATTACAACTTTTCAGTGCCTCCAAAGCCAACTTCATTCTGTGGTAGAAAATGGATCTTAGGAACATTATGATTAGAAAGCAGAAGTTGACAAATTTTTACTGTAAAAAGACTAAGCAGTAAATGTTAGTCAGCTACTCACTTCTGTGATTGTATCGTGAAAGCAACTCTAGGCAGTCTGTGAACAAGCATGTGAGGTGTTCCAGTACAGTCTTATTGCAGACTCTTAAGTGTATGCATTGCTGTGCCCCACTATGGCTTCATTGGAATCAGTCGGCACTTTAAAGAGTCTAAGGATTTAGATTTAATTGGTTTGGGAAGGTAGTGTGTGCAATCCTGGATGCATGGATTTTTGCCAAGTTTGAGATCCACTGATCATAGAGGGGAAAAAGCCTACATTGAATGGAAATAATGGTTTAAAAATCAACCCCACCACTTAACCCCTGTGTGAATGTGATGCCACATTTCTTCAGTTTCTTCATCCTTAAAATATGTTACGGGCAGTAAAAATTGATAAACATTGAAAAACGTAGACGTAGAAGACCAGTCATATCACCTGGGAAAGACTCAGGTTATTAAAGTCCTTCTCCAGTGCCATGCACTTCCTGCGCGCGCACACCATGCAGCTGTGGCTTCAGTACTTGTGCCAGGGTACTTTCTGAAGTCGCCTATTCCAGCAAAGTACAACTGATTATTTAGAAACTTTAAGCTAAATTTCCCTTCTGTAATGTCCTACCTCCGCCTTACGTAGTATAGATGAGTCTAATACCTAATCTATCCACTCACCCTTTAAATATCTCGGCATTAAAAAATTATTTGTAAGCCCGCCTTTTCTAGGCTTACTTCTGCTTCAATCACTGTGGATTCTGTGTATCTTACTATCTTTCACAGTCATAAACACAGTCAATTTTTTCACCCCGAGCTTTTGGTGCACATAATTGAATACAACTCTCCAGGCAAATTCTGACCCATACAGGACTTCCCTGGTCTGTTGTTCAGCTAGAAAAAGTATTACTTTGCATTTAATCACTAGTCTAGTTGTTCCTTCACCACCACCACCACCACCACCCAAAAAAAACTTGTCCCCTTTTTTTTAAAAAAGCATTTTATTAGGGGCTCATACAACTGTTACCGCAATCCATACACACATCAATTGTGTAAAGCGCATTTGTACATC